TATTTTAGTGGTTTCTTTTTGTTGTTATTTTTAATCCTGCTTATTTCTCTAGTTATAATGCAAGTTATAGTTCTCTAGTTTTAATCCAAGAGATTGTGGTGCTAGTTTCATAAATAACAGGCTAAGAGAGAAGCTGGGAACTGGGAGCTACTTGAAAGCCGGCTCGGTGAGGTCTGGTGGGGGCAGCAGAGCGACACTGCCGATTAGCGTGTAGCATTAGATGAGCAGCAGAGGGCGCCGGAGTTCCCCTTTTTTCCTCCCTTGAACCAGGTAAGAACAAAACCGCTGGGGTGAGTTGATTTCCAACTCTTAGAGACCCTATAGGACGAGTAGAACTGCCCCATAGAGTTTCCAAAGAGCACCTGGTGGATTCGAACTGCCAATCTTTCGGTTAGCAGATGTCAGCTGTTTCCTCACCTGTTCTAATCCACAGTTCTTTTGCCCTGAACTAGGGTTAATCTGGAAACCACTGTGGGTGAAATTAAGTTGGACTTTCTTCCTTTGGAATAAAAACCAGGGTTTCATGACTGGATGTTTTCCTTGGAATTGATGGAGATTTTCTTGCCTTCAGCATTTATGGGGCTTATCCAGAATAACGGGCTAGTATCTTTCCTCAGATGGAGCCCTGGTGGCCCAGCGGATAAAGCGCTCCACTGGTAACCGAAAGGTTGTGGTTTAAATCCTTCAGCCGCTCCGTGGGAGGGGCTGTCTGCTTCTGTAAAGATTTACAGCCTTGTAAACTCTATGGAGCAGGTCTACCCTGTCCTGTAGGGTCGCTATGAGTCAGAATTGACTCGACAGCAATGGGTTTGGTTGGGTGATCTTGCCCCAAAGGAAGTTAACTGAAGCACCAGCTGGACTGACTGTCCGTCTGTAGAGATGAGCTTGGTGGTGGGGAAACCAAAAAAAAAAAAACCGAACTGGTTGCTGTCAAGTCAACTTCAACTCATGGTGCTCCCATGCTCCTATGCGTGTCAGAGTAGAACTGTGCTCCATAGGGTTTTCAGTGGCTGATTTTTCAGAAGTAGATCACCAGGTTTTCTCCTGAGGTGCCTCTGGGTGGACTTGAACCTCCAACCTTTTGGTTAGCAGCCAAGCCTGTTAATTGTTTACACCACCTGGGAACTCCAGCCCTGAATCCCGACTTCCCTTGAATTCAATGCCAGCAGCCCCTCTATGGAGGAAGCCTGGGACTTGCTCGAATTAAAACCAGGAGCCCAGCAGAAGGAGGGATTCCCCTGGGGAAAGTGTTGTGTAGTTTTGGTCTGAGGGACCCACCTAGAGAGGACGCCCTCCTCTATCTAGTGACCATGTTGTACAGCTGTTGCATGCAATGGATGGAGTTTCCTTTCTGGGTGAGAAGGTGGTCTGCAGCCCAGCAGCATGTGGGCTCCCCTGTGGGTTCAGATGCACGAGTGATGGCCACTAGGAGCAGTGCCAGCATTGTCTTTACCCTACAATGTCAGTTAGAGCGAGTATTGTCTGCTCGTTAAATACTGATTACTCTTTTTCTTTTAAAATTTTTTGTTGTGCTTTAAGTGAAAGTTTACGATTCAAGTTAGTCTCTCATACAAAAATTTATACACACATCGTTATGTGACCCTAGTTGCTCTCCCTATACTGTGACAGCACAGTCCTCCTTTCCACCCCGGATTTCCTGTGTCCATTCAACCAGCTCCTGAACCTCTCTGCCTTCTCATCTCACCTATGGACAGGAGCTGCCCATTTAGTCTCATGTATCTACTTGAGCCAAGAAGCACACTCTTCACGAGTATCATTTTATGTTCCATAGTCCAGTCTAATCTTTGTCTGAAGAGTTGGCCTTGGGAGTGGTTTTAGTTTTGGGCTAACAGAGAGCCCAGGGGCCATGTCTTCTGGGGTCCCTCCAGTCTCAGTGAAACCATTAAGTTTGGTCTTTTTACTAGAATTTGAGTTCTGCACCCCACTTTTCTCCTGCTCTGACAGTGGCTCTCTGTTCTGTTCCTTGTCAGGGCGGTCATTGGTGGTAGCCGGGCACCATCTAGTTCTTTTGGTCTCAGGCTGC